TCTGCCGTGCGTTCACTCTGTCGTGCGTTCACTCTGCCGTGCGTTCACTTTGCCGTGCGTTCACTTTGCCGTGCGTTCACTCTGCCGTGCGTTCACTCTGTCGTGCGTTCACTCTGCCGTGCGTTCACTCTGCCGTGCGTTCACTCTGCCGTGCGTTCACTCTGTCGTGCGTTCACTCTGCCGTGCGTTCACTCTGCAGTGCGTTCACTCTCCCGTGCGTTCACTCTGTCGTGCGTTCACTCTGCCGTGCGTTCACTCTGCCGTGCGTTCACTCTGCCGTGCGTTCACTCTGTCGTGCGTTCACTCTGTCGTGCGTTCACTTTGCCGTGCGTTCACTCTGTCGTGCGTTCACTCTCCCGTGCGTTCACTTTGCCGTGCGTTCACTTTGCCGTGCGTTCACTCTGTCGTGCGTTCACTCTCCCGTGCGTTCACTCTGCCGTGCGTTCACTCTGTCGTGCGTTCACTCTCCCGTGCGTTCACTCTGCCGTGCGTTCACTCTGCCGTGCGTTCACTCTGTCGTGCGTTCACTCTGCCGTGCGTTCACTCTGTCGTGCGTTCACTCTGTCGTGCGTTCACTTTGCCGTGCGTTCACTTTGCCGTGCGTTCACTCTGTCGTGCGTTCACTCTCCCGTGCGTTCACTCTGCCGTGCGTTCACTCTGCCGTGCGTTCACTCTGTCGTGCGTTCACTCTGCCGTGCGTTCACTCTGTCGTGCGTTCACTCTGCAGTGCGTTCACTCTGCAGTGCGTTCACTCTGCAGTGCGTTCACTCTGCCGTGCGTTCACTCTGCCGCGCGTTCACTCTGCCGTGCGTTCACTTTGCCGTGCGTTCACTCTGCCGTGCGTTCACTCTGTCGCGCGTTCACTCTGCCGTGTGTTCACTTTGCCGTGCGTTCACTCTGTCGTGCGTTCACTTTGCCGTGCGTTCACTCTGCCGTGCGTTCACTCTGTCGTGCGTTCACTCTGCCGTGCGTTCACTCTGCCGTGCGTTCACTCTGCCGTGCGTTCACTCTGCCGTGCGTTCACTCTGCCGTGCGTTCACTCTGCAGTGCGTTCACTCTGCCGTGCGTTCACTTTGCCGTGTGTTCACTCTGCCGTGCGTTCACGCTCCTGTGCTGTTGTGTGTTTTTTAGGGGGGCGGGGGTTTGCGTGGCACGGTTGTTCGCCAAAGACAAAGTCCCCCCCCCCTCCCCCCGAACAACATTAGCAGACTTACGGGGCAAGTGCTGTTAGCGAGCAGCACCTACGAAGGCCAGCATGGCACACGAGCACGCCCGGCCGCCTCTGTCTCCCCGAGTGGCGGCGTTTACACGTCGCGCCGGGCACTCATTCGAGGCCAAGTCGACCGAGGGGAGGCCCATGACCAGTTGGGATGATCGCCATCGTTGGCGTTGTCCGCGAGCGGGAATCGAACGCGGGGAGCGGCGGCGCAGCGGTTAGCGTTCGAGCACGGGCGAACCGAGCGACGATTCCCGCTCGCGGGTGATAGCGGTGGCGAATATTTTAACCGGTCCTGAGCCGCCCTCCCTCTTACGCCGACTGAGTCTTGATACGAGTACCCGGCGTGGCGTGTCAATACCGGCAGCGGTGCTGGTCGCAGCAGCAGCACCCCCTCGTGCGCTGTATTGCGGCCTCGTCATCATCGTCATCATCCTCATCAGCCGTGATCAATCCATTGCTGGATCAAAGCCTCCTAGTGCAATCGAGTGTGCTCTATGTGAGTCGATAGATCTATCGAGCTCGTCATTATTATTGGGTGGCGCCACGGTTGTGAGATGTTAACTACCTTGCCTGGTATACTGGAGGTCGTGGGTTCAATCCCGACCCTGATACCTGCATTTTTGGAGTTTGCATGTTCTCCCCCTGGTTTGCGTGTATTTTTACCTCTGGGTCCTCCCAGCTTTTCCCTCCACGTGTTATCATCAACATGCGTCGAGATTATTCGGTTTATTTTGCTGCTGTGGATTTCCACATGATAAGCCACCAACTTCGTTGAGCTGTCGTTTTGTGGTATCCAGGTCGCTTCCGAAAAATAAGCCACAAATGACCGTTCAACGAAGTGACCTCATGTGGACATTATCGCAGCCAAATACTCTAAACGCGCGACGCTGATTCTGAAAGCAGAGGGAAAAACCGGGGGGACCCGGAGAAAAATCGACGCGAGCACAGGGAGAACGTGCGAACTTCAAATACAGGCAGTCCTCTACTTACGATGGAGATGCGTTACGACGACCCCTTCGTAAGTCGAAAAAATCGTAAGTCGAAGATGGCCTCGCCTACCCAGGAGTCTTAAAGAATGGTGATAATTTAGCAAAACAGAGCAAATTTACAGTACTGTCCTGTATAAACTATATACTGTATGTATTTATTAATTACAATACTGTATTGCACAGTATGATGTAAAGTAAAAAAAACAAGGTAAATCTTAGCCTACCTATATGAACTGCAATTTAATAGAAAGTTTTTTCAGGGAAACAATCCTATCTGCATCACACAAGGCGGGAGATGCGTACATCCCGGCAGCGTCCCAACGTACAGTATCGTACCTCGTACGCTGCTGCGTTTGACTGCCGCGCGAAATTTAAAATATTTAACAATTTTGTCGTGTCGCTATCGCCATCGTAAGATCGAAATATCGTGAGTCGGACCATCGTAACTCGGGGACTATCTGTATACAGCAGGCGTCAGGGTCGGTATCGAACCCACGGCTTCCTGTATACCAGGCGAGGTAGTCAACATCTCCTAGCCACCGTGATGATGATCAGAGAGAGAGAGAGACACGCAAACTCCAAACATACAGCAGCAGGCGTCAGGGTCGGTATCGAACCCACGGCTTCCTGTATACCAGGCGAGGTAGTCAACATCTCCTAGCCACCGTGATGATGATGAGAGAGAGAGAGACACGCAAACTCCAAATATACAGCAACAGGCGTCAGGGTCGGGTTCGAACCCACGGCTTCCTGTATACCAGGCGAGGTAGTCAACATCTCCTAGCCATCGTGATGATGATGAGAGAGAGAAACACGCAAACTTCAAATATACCACAGGCGTCAGGTTCGGGTTCAAACAGTCGACATTTCGGGCAATGATCCTTCTTGCATATCACGTGACTTTTTGAAGCTATTAGCATACATTTGTTATCATGTACTCAGATTGTAAATGTCGTGGCTTGGCTCTCCAACACACCGGTGTGCTGTACTAGTATACTACACTACTATACACTACACTATACACTACACTATACAATATAATACACTACACTAATATACACAATACACTACACTACTATACACAATACATTATACACTAGTGCTGTCTTAGTATACTACACTACAATACACTATACCCTACACTACTATACAATACACTATACACTACACTATACACTACACTATACACTATACAACACTATACACTACACTACTATACACTACACTACAATACACTATACACTAGTGCTGTACTAGTGACGAATTGGCCACGTTCTGTTCACGTGACAACCCTTACTAGTTGGCTGTGTCGTGTGGTGGCGGGGTTTTAACGACACATTTACATATTTACGTGATCTAACACAAAAAAGCGTTTATTTTCATCATCGCCATCATTATTCTTTGTGACCTTCTGTACATAAATTTGCGTCGCTAACCGGCGACGAGAATTCTGCTCTACCCCCACCTCCCGTACCACCCCGTGCAGCGCTCTCACAGATAGCAGCCTGCCTTTTTACAGAATGCAATGAAACCTTCAGAGGCAAAGAGATGTGTTTTTTTTCATCTTTACACGCTTTGCCATCACTGCCTCTATTGTTTCGCCTCGTCTATTTTTGGTCGCGACGTTTTATTTTTATTTCTTTTCGGGGTACTTCGACGGCGGAGAACAAAAAAGAAACATCTGCTCGGATCGTTGCCGTAATTGGGATGAAACGCGCTGCCGTTGCCGTGATCTTTCTGCTACGTTCATTATTTAAACAAAAAAAATTCTCGTTTTCAAATTTTTTTTGCCTCCGCGGATTTTTTTTTTTTGCGTGAGGGCCTTTGCCTTCCTGTTCTTTTTTGTTTCTGCGGCTGCCGCTACCTCGACTAAAATTAGAATGGCCTCCGTTACCGGCATTAATCACAGTCCTCGCCTCTGACATTTTTAATCTGCGTTTTATGTCTGGGGGGGGGGGGGCGCGGTGGGGGGGGGGAAATAAACCCTCGCGCTTAAAGTGCGGATTATTATCAACTCCCAAACATGCCGCGTAAAAAAAAAAATGTCAATCGTCTCTGCCTTTCCCCGATCGCCTATGCGGCGGTACGTTTTATACAAAAATAAGTGTCGCTTTTGGGGGGGGGGGGGGGTGGGAGATTTTTCGCGTTTCACTTTGTACCGCGCACTCTCACGCCCATTGCGACATCGGCGTCGCAACCGCGAGAGGAGGCGTCCGTGCCGACGTCTTTTCTGAGCGGCGCGACCCACCACATCCACCCCACCACTCCACCACCGCCCCACACCCCCCCACCCCCCACCCCCCACCGCCCCACACCCCCCCCACCCCACCACTCCCCCACCCCCCCCACTCCACCACCCCCCCACCCCACCTCCACCACCCCCCCACTCCACCAGCCCCCCCACTCTACCATCCCACAACGCCCCCACTCCCCCACCCCCCCACTCCACCACCCCCACACCCCCCCCACCGCCACACACCCCCCCCCACGGCGTTGCGGAACGGCTCCCGGGGAAGCGGACACCACAGAGCTGCCGCTGAGACATCCCGCTCGCACGCCTCCAATTGTCGCGGCGCGAAAGTTCAACTTGCGCGCGTGCGTGCGTACACACGCGGTCGAGGGCGAGCTCTTCTCCCCCCCCCGCCCACCACGCCACCCCGACTCGCTCCGCGTCCGACAGCGTCAGGCTCATCACGAGACGCACGCGGCGCCGACGTCCGACGTTTCGCAACGACGGCCCCCCGCCGTGACCGCCCCCCCCCCCCGCTCCCCCCCCCTCCCCCCCTGTGCAGGAGCACAACCTGGACTGGTTTCCGCGGATGCGCGCGATGTCGCTGGTGAGCGCCGACGGCGAGGGGGAGCAGAACGAGCTGCGCGGCCTGCAGGAGCGGCTTGACGCGACGGCGCGACTCGTCACGGCGCTCTCCTCCCAGCTGTCAGAGCTCAAGGAGCAGGTGACCCACACACCCACACACACACCCACACACACCCACACACCCCACCACGCCCCCACTCCCCCACCCCCCCACTCCACCACCCCACCACCGTCCCACACCCCCCCACCCCCACCCCCACACCGCCCCCACAACCCCCCACCCCACCACTCCACCACCCCACCACGCCCCTACCCCCACAACCCCCCACCACACCCCCCCAACTCCCCCACCACCCCCACACCCCCCCACACCCGCCACTTACACACGTACAACTCGGCATATCGCGGCACGACACACACACAAGTAAAACAGTAACAATATCAACCCAAAGAGCTCCCCGTGTAGCCTCTAACAGACTTGTGGGGTAAGAGTTGGTCAAAATCAGAAATGTGTTTTTATATACTGGAGGAATCCGATGAGCTATAAAGCATTTTATCCACATATGCCAAGTTGGGGCAGGTCAGAAGATTTACAACAACTAGTGCACAGTATGGGAAAGGTAAACACATCAGTTTCAAAATATACTTTCTACAAATAACTTTTTTTCTTACCTTACCAGGTAAGGGCCACTGAGGCATTAACTTATTTTTAGAAGGGACCTGGTCATCACAAATGACAGCTCAACAAAGTGGCGGATCATCATCATCATCATCGTCGTCGTCGTCATCATCGTCATCATCATCGTCATCGTCGTCATCATCATCATCATCGTCGTCATCATCATCGTCATCGTCGTCATCATCATCATCGTCATCATCATCATCATCGTCGTCATCATCGTCATCATCATCATCATCGTCGTCATCATCGTCGTCGTGTGGAAATTGATAGCAGTCGCTAAATAACTCTAAACGCGTCACGTCGATTCTAAATGTGGAGGGAATAACTGGAGGGCTCGGAGGAAAATGCACACAACTACCACGCGGGAGAGAGAGAGAGAGAGAGACACGCAAACTCCAAATATACAGCAGCAGGCGTCAGGGTCGAGATCGAACCCACGACCTCTTGCACACCAGGCGAGGTAGTTAACATCTCCTAGCCACCGTGATGATGATGAGAGACAGAGACACGCAAACTCCAAGTATACAGCAGCAGGCGTCAGGGTCGGGATCGAACCAACGCACTCTTGCGTACCAGGCGAGGGAGTTAACCGCGGCGCCCCATCATCGCGACCACAACACCACCACAAAGTAATGAATCGGCAAATGCCGGTTCATTGCTATTCCACAAAGTCAACTCGGAGTCCCAGAGCAGAGAGAGAGAGAGAAGCTAGGCAGCATGGGAGACTGAGGTGCAGAGTAATGAGGAACAAGGGGGGTGGGTGGGGGGGGGAAGATAGCCACACACACACAGATCATGTGGCCGGATCTAGGAATATTTGCCCCCAGGCTACGAGAACCCCCCCCCCCCACCTCCACCGAATCCTCCCCACCCCTCCTCTCCCCCATATCTTCCACCCTGGCTTCCCCAACCCACTTTCCCTTCAAAGACAAATACATAGATACCCCTTCCCGTCACTATATAGCCTTCAATTAGACCGCTGGGGCAAGTGCTGTTAGCGAGCGGCAACAATTACGAAGGCCTGCACGGGCCCCCCCCCCCCCCACCGCGCTTGGCTTCCGATGTGCGTCCTCAGTGCGGGCGCCTACCCCAGGGCAAGCTCGCTCAAAAAACCAAACCTCAATTTTTTACCAGGTAGGGCCCCACTGGGCCGTTGCAGGTCTCTTCCTTTTTTCGCAAACGACCAGGCGATCGCGAACGATAGCCCAACGAAGGGGCTGGTCGGAGGGGGGAAAAATCCGGACGGCCCCGGAAAAAAATCCACGCGACCACGGGGAGAGAGACACCGCAAACTCCCAAATATACAGCAGCAGGCGTCGGGGTCGGGATCGAACCAACGACCTCCTGCATACCAAGCGAGGTAGTTAACATTTCCTAGCCACCGCGATGATGATGAAAGAGACACACAAACTCCCAAATATACAGCAGCGTCGGGGTCGGGATCGAACCCACGACCTCCTGCATACCAGGCGAGGTAGTTAACATCTCCTAGCCATCGTGATGAGAGAGAGAGACACGGAAACTTCAAATATATAGCAGGCGTCAGGGTCGGGATCGAACCCACGACCTCCTGTATACCAGGCGAGGTAGTTAACATCTCCTAGCCACCGTGATGAGAGAGAGAGACACGGAAACTTCAAATATATAGCAGGCGTCAGGGTCGGGATCGAACCCACGACCTCCTGCATACCAGGCGAGGTAGTTAACATCTCCTAGCCATCGTGATGAGAGAGAGAGACACGGAAACTTCAAATATATAGCAGGCGTCAGGGTCGCGATCGAACCCACGACCTCCTGTACACCAGGCGAGGTAGTTAACATCTCCTAGCCATCGTGATGAGAGAGAGAGACACGGAAACTTCAAATATACAGCAGCGTCGGGGTCGGGATCGAACCCACGACCTCCTGTACACCAGGCGAGGTAGTTAACATCTCCTAGCCACCGTGATGAGAGAGAGAGACACGGAAACTTCAAATATATAGCAGGCGTCGGGGTCGGGATCGAACCCACGACCTCCTGCACACCAGGCGAGGTAGTTAACATCTCCTAGCCACCGTGATGAGAGAGAGAGACACGCAAACTCCAAATATACAGCAGGTGTCAGGGTCTGGATCGAACCCACGACCTCCTGTATACCAGGCGAGGTAGTTAACATCTCCGAGCCACCGCTCTCCACCTGCCGTGTGCTGCAGGCGGAGGGTCCCTGGACCGCGTGGAGCCATGAGGCGTGCGTGAAGGAAGACCTTTGTAAATATTATACTCTTAGTTCTTTCGGTAAAGTCACGTAGGTAAAAAATGAAATTAATAAAAAATAAAACAATAAAAATCACGACGTTTCGGAGGCAACACAAGTCTCCGTCATCAGGTGGGACCGTCACAGCCAGATTTGCTGCATCAAGTGAGGCAAGGATTCAAGATGTAAGCCCTTAAATACTAGTTGAGGGGGGAGGAGAGGGGGGGGGGGGGGAGCTCATCAGAATGTGGTAGCCAATGAATGGAACGTATCGGGAGGGGGAGGGGGGCAGGGCCAAAAGAATGCACGACGTGGTACACGCGAGAGTCGGCGTCGTGGAAGTGGTTGTGCGCAAGTAACTACTGCTGCACACGCCAACGTATTGGACGGAGAGGGGGAGGGGAGGCCAAAAGAGAGTGTGGGGTGCATGTGTACGTGGACATGTGTGTGTACAAGCACCTGTTGATACACATGATAGAAAAGAACGAAAATGTCCATGTTTATACCAGTGCTGGCTGAACAATTAAGAGAGTACTGTTAAACACTGGGGATGTTAACACTCGGTAAAGTAAAATAGTGCCTGTCAGATAAGATGGTCCAAAAATGTGTAATTAAGTCATTTTTGCATGGTTGATAACATCTTTCCAATGATTACTAAGTTTGTATCCATCATCACGGTTGAAATTATGTCTGTGTTTGTATATCTGAATGGCTTCGTGTACAAACCTTTGATGGTAGCCAGAGGGCTATTACAAGTTCACCTCGGATACGTTTTACTGAATCGCCACTCCACCCTCGCTGTGGCCATATGCAGCGGTGGGCTCTTGAGTGGGTAAATGTTAGAGCCCTCCCTCCTCCGTGCTGTGCATGAGAGGGCAGTAGTAGAGTACGTATGTGGAACTTCTTTCGCACCGTACGTAGCCAACCGTGCACATCGGTTGAGGGAGGTGGTGGCGCTCGCGCCTCGCAGCTACGAGCTCCTGGGTTCGATTCCCAGAGTCGGGCGCCTCTCCGCATGGGTTTACTTCTGATCCTCTGGGGTTTTTTTTCGCTCGCCAAAAACTTTGCAGAAAAGATGTGCAACGCGACGCTTTATAATGCTGCACAAAGTGACCCGCAAATGAGTTCATTGGCATCGTACACAGCAACAACATTGACCCCCTCCCACCGCCCCCTCTGCCCCCCCCCCAACCCACCTGCACAAACTTGGCAGAACCCTCGTGAAAAAGAGTCTGTAGACTACTCGTGAACATGTGGGACAATAAACAGTGAGGGTGCAATGGACATGTGGTGATGATGATGACTGGCTTGATAATGATAGTGACGGTGGTGCTACTGATGGTGGTGGTGGTGATGATGATGATGACTGGCTTGATAATGATAGTGACGGTGGTGATGATGATGATGATGGTGGTGGTGGTGATGATGATGGTGGTAGTGATAGTCTTAACGCTAGTGGCAATGATGATCATAGTGTTGGTGGTGATAATGATAGTGGTGGTTGTGTGGTGAATGTGATGATTATGATGATGAGAAATTCAGAAGTGTTGATGATTTTTGGTGCCAGTGTGATGATGATGGTGGTGATGGTCTTAATGCTAGTGCCAGTGATGATGATGGAAGTGATGGTGATAGTGGTGGTGCTGATGATGGTGGTGATGGTTTTAACGATAGTGGGAGTGATGATGATGATGGTAGCGATGGTGATAGTGCTGATAGTGGTAGTTGTTGTTGTGAATGTGATGACGATGATGATTGATAAATGCTGAAGTGTGGATGATTGTTGGTGTCAGGGTGATGTTGATGATAGTGGTGATGGGTCTTTAGGATAGTGGTAGTGATGACAATGGCAATGATGGTGATAATGGTGGTGGTTGTGGTGGAGAGCGGTAGTGTAGCGGTTAGCGTTACGCTGCGCTACGAACCTGGCGACCCGAGTTCGATTCCCACTCACGGCCAACACCGGTGACGATTATCTGAACCGGTCCTGGGCCTCCCCTAGATCAACTCAGCCTGAAATGAGTACCTGGTCGGTGTGTAAACATCGCCACTGGGGAGACAAAGGCGGTTGGGCGTGGTGCTGGCCACCCACCCCCTCGTGTGCTGTGCCGGCCTTCATAGGTGCTCGCTAGCAGCACTTGCCCCTACAGTCTGTTAAGGCTATACGGGGGATCTTTGTCTTTAGTTGTGGTGAATGTGATGACAATGATGATGCAGAAGTGT